TTCTAGAATTGGACAAGCTGAGACAATATGATCAATGGTTTCTGTTTGTTCATAGCAGATGCGGCATTTATCATATTCGTAAATTTGGTGAACCACCTTATCATGTGTTCAACGCCTGATCATGGGCAGATATTACAACTGCTTCCGATTCTATCTTCATTCTTCGCCTTTTAAGCCACATAATTTAATGATCTACATCTAGTCCATTTTTTAGATACTGTCCATGGAGTAGTTTGTCTCTCGACGATTTCTTTAGCTTTCTTGTGTGTCACATTTCATGTTAGGTAGCTCGAAAGTTCAGAGTCTGTATTATTATGCGTGACAGGCAATTCTTGCTATATGTACAATGCCTCTGTTTCCCATTCTTCGATTTAATAACCAGCCTCATTAATGGGCCATCTTAATTACTGATTACATATCAGAAGTATCTGGTGGATGATAAAATCTTCATCAATAATTAAAACTTCACTTTGGATCTTGCAACAAACCTATAAGAACCTTTTGAACCCATAAGAACGTCATTGAACGAGGTTATTTTTTGGCATCCTGTTCGAAATATAAACAGCATTGAGCAGTATTAACTCCACACGCCAGCAGAATAGTATTAACACAACAGGGCACAGCATCTACAACCAGCACAATCACATAATACGTTGTATAATACGTTTTACCAGCGGATATCAACAATGGCACATTTCGTAGAGAAAATAACGTTAATGTGTTTGTAGTTGATAGACGATTTAGGTGGTTGTTAGGCGAGATAGTTAAAGCGAAATGTCATTTATTATACAATGAAATGCTATGATGTCGGGGACTCCAAAAGGTTGAAAAAAGTGCAGTATCCTTCGTACATCATACGCATAGATTGTATTTCAAAATTGTAGTACCCCTTTTCCAATGAAAAAAGAGGACATTTCGTCCTTTCTTGTAAAATACATCCAGACAGTTTTTCTTACTCCAAGAATAAGATTATTATTATTATTAAGAATATTATTATTATTATTATTATTATTATTATTATTATTATTATTATTATTATTAACATTCTTTATGTTTCAATGCTTTGTTTAATTTTAATACGTACTGATTCTAATTTAATGTGACGTTTCATATACTAGTTTCTCATTTGAAATATAAATTTTGATAGGTAGCTCGCTTTCGAATTCAAACGTCATTTCCGTCAGTAAACGATAACATTTTGAATATTTGAATTTCGATAATTATTAAAGTGTCATTAGCTTCTTTCATTACTAACTGAATTTTTCGAAAGCATTTTTACATAGAATCGTGAAATTTGCGATTACTGCTCTGCGTACAACATTGTCATATTTCACTTCCGCACTGGTTTTGTATTTCAGTACAGGTGGTCTCTTTTTACGCGGAGTAGCAATTATCCCTTCAACATTTAATTTTTAAACCGAAGAGTAAGCGCTTGTGGATAACAGTTGTTCGCCAAAGTTTACTGACAGCTAATACTTTCTACGGCTGGATATTTCCTTTCGGAATTTGGAAACTCGTGTGATCAGTCAATATCATTCGATACTAACTCATCAACTGGGCATGCAATAAGTCATGCTCATTTAACCTTAAACGACGGTGGGTTTTTAAGCGCTGAAGTGCAACAAAATGCAACTCGCAAATGCTACCATCTGGTGAAGAAATGGAAAGCAACACACATGCAGCCCTGAACCACCACCATCCCGAAGAAAATCTCGGGATTCTCAGTTCAACTGTAAATGTGAAAAAACCTTCCTTCAACGGCAATCTCCCTCACCAGAGAAAGGTCAGCCCATGAAGTCTCAAACTCTCGCGAAAACAAAAATAGAACTGAGTGTAAATTCTAATAACTGTTACAGTAGTGAACACGTACACCTAGTGAAGTGAGTAGTGGAGTGGAAAAGCGAGGGGGAAGAGGAGGAGAGGAAGCGGGGAATGGGAAGAGGTAGAATAGGTCGCTCCTTTCGCCCTCCCTCAAACGTAACGAAAAGCTCTCTGAAGTAAAGAAATAAGGCTTAACAAAATGCGGTTTCTTGATGTTTCGTATCAGTTTGAGATGCCACCAAGGAAAGGCAAGACTCTTTCATGTTTATTTTACTTTTGGCGAACCACGTCCCCATTTGAAAATTTGAGAACGTATTAGGAATTTATTGTGAAGACAGATACGTTACGAATAATCTAAGTAGAGGATAAACAATTAATCTTTTTCATACATAGTATTATCTCAAAATATACAATACACATTTATCTTTGAAAAATATATACAATAAATTGTAACAATGCGTTTTTTATAGCCACCTAAAACGAATATTTTAGAACCTAAACATCCGCGGTCTACTTACACCAAAGTATACCTATGTGTGTCAATTAATTTGAAACTGCATTTTGAGAAGTCGAAAAGAGAAAACAAAATGTTAGCGGTAGGGTTACCATGCTTCCAATATGGAAAAAGAGGACATTTCTTATAAAAAAGTGGTAGCTTAATGTTTTAATATAATATTTTTTCTTAAAGACAAAATACGCCCCACTTTTCTACTTTTATATCTAGAAATATTTGGAGTATGATAAAATCTCCCTCAACAATTAAAACTTTGCTTTGCTTTGAACTTTGCAACAAATGGTTTTAACTTATAAGTAGTATGTCATTAAACAAGGTTTTTCTTTTTGGCATCCTGCTCGAAATATAAACACCACAGAGTAATGTTAACTCCACACTCCAGAAGAATAGTATTAGCCCCACAGAGCATATAATATATAACTATTATTATCATTCAATACGTTGTACCAGCTAATGGCAGCATTGTCGCAATTCATGAAGAATAGGACGCAAGGCAGATATTTTTGATGCATTTTGGCAGTTGTTAGAAGGGATAGTTTAAATTAAATGTCATTTACTTATAACACAATGAAATTTTATGACTTCAGGAACTCGAAAAGGTTGAACAAATTGCAGTATCCTTCGTTCATCATACGTTTAAGTCGCATTTATAATTAGTACAATTTTCTATTAAAAGCGGTAATTTCGTCCTTCCTTGTAAAATCCACCCGAATACTTTTTATTACTTTAAAAGGAGGAAATGTCCAGGCAAAAGAGTACGTATAGTGACCCAAGACAGCGTGATTGTTTGCCGAAGCACCTGGGAACAGTTGGAAAATATAATTCGGAGAACAGAAGACCTGCGGGCGCGGCATCGATGGCAGCGCGCCGCGCGGCAACCGGCGGAAGTGCGGGGCGCGTGGGCGGGCGATCGGGCTTGCAGGAGCAGACTTAATAATTCAGCCGCAGAGGCTCCGAGTAAAACCGGATTTCCGAAGTCTTCTCGGAAGGGGCGTTGCAAATGCATAGCGCACGCCGCTCGAGGCCCTCCTTGGCGGTCGCACGCCCGGCAGCGACCAAAGCCCCCGACGAATCAGCCGCATGTTTTACGTACGCCCGGGCGATCAACTCGGATCAGCCGGCTGAGCGAATCAGCTGGAAATCGATACGTACACGAAGCAAACATGGAAAAATGGCCGTGGTCAAAGAAAAACACGCTGTATCTACATCTACATCTTTGTTAATAATTTCTTCAGAATCCACCAAAACCAAAATCTAAGGCACTGTATGTTTGCTACATTTTCCATCAATTGATTGTCGTGGTCAAAGAAAACCACGGTGAATCCTGTATAATACATCTACATCTTTACGCAGCAAATGCCGGAGTATAAGCCGTACCTTAATTGTCTCTTTTCGAGGCTTTGATGCTATGGAGAGACCATTTGGAGTGAATTCCAGTAATTGCGAAAGATAATATAACGCAAAGGATAAAGTAGGAATATTGTAATGG